CCACGCTAGTAGTAACAAGTGCCTTACTAGTAGTAACTAAGAAGCTATTAAATTTACATTTTAATTCTAATAGCTTCTTTGTTACTACTAGTAAGGCACCTGTTACTACTAGCGTGTCTTTGTACGTCGCTGGGCTCGGGACGGACTCCGAGAGTCGAACGACACGCCTGGCGCGCGGGGAAGCCAACGAAGCATTCCTGGGCGCCGGAAAGTCGAGGACCTTTTTGCAAAACCGTGTTTAGCTTCTTGTTACCTAGTAACGGCCTCCACCTATATAGCTAGCTCTTTTTTCAAGAAATGCACGATTTAGTGAAACGATTTGCAAGATTGAGGGTTCACGTTGATGTCCTCCAACCCAATATAGCCTACTAGCGATGGCCGGGAAAATCGAGGATCAGCGGGAAGGATGATGAGGATAGCTGTGGATGGAGCTGCCTTTTCAATGGTCAAGGATTTATTACAGAGGCAATTAGTCTAATACCCCTATTTAGTGAACACTCGTCCAATGCAGCTACAGGAATTTGTGTTCAAAAGGGATGGACAAAAGACACCGGACACGGCACCCCAAGTTCTCGTCAAGCGGCATTTCACAAGCGCTTGGAGGAAAGCATCCAGATAGAGAAATTTGTCCAGTGTTGCTATGTTGGTGCTATGCTCAACGCAGTCTTTGTAGCTTTTCTGGGTGAGATCTTTTTGCCAGCTCGGCCAGCTCGTGCACCAGATGGTTCCTTGCACGCAGGAGCGCATCAATCAGCTCCAGTCACTTTTGAGCGAGGAGAGATTTGGGCAGGTGGCCATGTGAGCCCTAACTTTCCCTTAAGACACCCTCAACAACATTATATAAATGTAGAGAACCGCTCATATGGGCTCCATTCTCATGCTCTACTTGAAGCCGACAAGTCGAGCTGGACACTTGAGGCTTTGCTGTTAGCAGCGTAGCCAGGAACGGGCCGCCCACACCCAGCAGCTGCAGCAACAGGCAGAGTTGGTGCAGCAGGTGTGGCTGCCACAGCGGGATACATAGTGACTCGCTTTAGTTCACTTTCTGACATGGGCTTTTGCTTGCAGTCGTGGGTTTGGTAGGTCTTGCCGCGCTCACTTTGAACAACACCACTTCGATTTGTTTCACGAATGTTTGCGGGCGTTTTGCTTTGGATTGCCATCCCCGAGTCCTAGCACATGCGACGTTCGTGTGCCTCTTCTACCAGATTTGACCGTTCATTCTCCTCCATCCCAAACATGAAGGCGCTTGTCCAATCGTGTCCTGTCTGAGAGCCTTTCGCAGGTGCGTCGGGAGGCCGAGCTGCAGCTGGCAGACGCTGAGAAGCGACACCGGGCAGAGCTGGCCGTGGAGCAGGTCGCATGCGCAGAGAGAGGTGATTGGACACCTCAGGTAAATGTTCAACCGAAAAGATCAAGGTAACTCCAGACTTGCTAGCAAAATGTAGCTCAACCAGCCACATGCCGAAATTTCAAAGTCTCGAAAGATCGTTCTGAAGTTCGGTTCTTTTTCTAGTAGTAACAAAAAGCTTCTTGTTTCTAAGTTCGCAAACATTGTTACTACTAGTAAGGCACCTGTTACTACTAGCGTGGCACTTGTTACTGGAAGTCGAAGCCACGGCCGGCTTTGCAGGAACGGGTGCGCGAGGCCCACGAGATGGTCGAACTGGTGCAGTCCGGGGGCCGAAGGGTGGCCGATGGGCCGTGAAGTGCGCCAGGGTCTTGGATAAACGGAGCGGTGTGCGGTTCTTGCTAATCGACTGGTTGTTTGATGTTTGAAGGGACTTCATTCTTCCGACCTTGATTCCCAAGAAACGTGACACGTGAAAAGTCTTCACTGGTTGTTTTACCATGTTTGTGCTGTCAGCTGTTACCAGTCCAGCTTGAAGCGGTCCAGACGAGGGGCCCAACCCGTTGTAAAGTCAAGCTTCCTCCATCTCGCAGCCACGACATCTCGCCGCCATGATCTTGTTTTTGCTGTTGCTTCGTGCGCTACTAGGAACAAGTGCATCGCTTCTAGTAACAAGTGCCTTACTAGTAGTAACAAGGACGCTACGAGTGTCGATGCCATCGTCACCGCGCCGAGTTTTCGTGCCGAGCCTGCCTCGTGCCGAGCCTGCCTCGTGCCAAGCCGCTTCGAGGCAGCGCGCGAACAAAGATGTCATGGACGCTCGTGCTCGCGAGGCATGGGAACTCAGTCTGTTTAATGTTCGTGGAGGGGTGGAGTTCGTGGCACGCCCTGCATGTTGGACAGAGAGGAGGAAAAGGACTATATAGAAGCTCTCAAAACCCCTCTTCATAGTTGATAGCGTTCCATGGAGCATTTGCAGATAAATTAAGCCCCACGCCCTTGGTAGGAAAGTGCCACTAGCAGAAAGAGAGACTGACAAGGCATAACATGCAAAGACTGGCAGCATTTCATCGCCCTGCTCTCCGCGACCCTCCTCCAGGGCTGCACAAGATGACTCATGACATCGAGGTATCCACGGTAAGGTCTTGTATTTGTTTGGAGTCATTTCGACAGTGTTTGGATTCTAGAAGCCCATGTGTTTGCTGTGGAGCGTTTGAGGTGTTCAGTTTCTTTCCGCTCTTCTTACAATAGCCGGGAGGTTAGTAAAGAACGAAACTTGATAAAACAAGATAAAACGAGTAACTCTTTCATTGAGATGATTCAGCATGCCTTGCCGCTCAGGAGGCCCGCATCGCGCAGATCCGGGCCCAAGCTGAGCACCGAGCGTCAGGGAGCCCAATTGAACTTCTGAGCGTTTGTGTTTCGCACGACCTTCAGTTGGACCGTTGTTTCTTTTCCTAGGCCTTGATTTTGAAAGAAACTCGATCCATTTAGAGAAAGGTTTTTCCTGGACTGGATTCGACCAACAGCGCTGCTTCAGGCATGATCTTGAGCGACGCATGCGTTTGCCCCTGAGCAACTTTGGAAATCCACGTGTGTTGACGTGTTTATCAGCAAAACGGCCGCACAGGCATGGGATGAATGGGGATGTCCTAGGATTCTGCAGAAAAACGGCAACACTCAGGTGAAACATGGAAGGCTTAGAGACATAAATCCTCAATTGCTCCAGGTTTTGCCAAGGAAAATGCCAAAAAGGTGCAACAGTCACATCCACCTTTAGGTACCTTAGGCAACGAACACGTGCCGTGGCCGTGCTATTGCCGTGCACCGAGGTGAAGAGGCCACAATGAGGCGAAGGGATGGGGTCAAAGCTGTCTGAAAAGAGAGAGAGAGAGAGAGAGACAGAGAGAGAGGGGGGGGAAGCGGCTAGCAGCATGTCGAGGAGCCACTAGCAGAGGCTGGCACTAGTCATCCCTAGCAATTTTGTCGTATTTAGCCATATTGATTGAGAGTGTTTATGACTTAATGTCCAACTTACTGCCAGCTGAGCTGAGCACTCTCCCAATCCAACTTGAACAGACTGCTGAGTGATTGGTCATCACCTTTCGGCCTTTCCTTGGCGATAAACTTCAAGACCCTGAGGGACCAGCACGTGATTGAGCGGCAACGGATGATGGAGGAAGCCTTGTCGCTCGCCAAGAGTTTTCTGCGATTGTCTACATGCAAAAGAGATTGGAAAGACCAGCCATTGCCACCTTCAAGTCTATGTCCCTTGTGCATCATCCACGGCCAGTTGGCGCCATCTCAAAGGTACGCTCATGGGCGGGAGAAGGAGTATGCAATCGAGTCAGCGCAACGGCATTTAGCAGCCATGGAGCAGGATGACGAGCGTTCTGGGTCAGTTCGAGGGTGGAGAGAGTGTAGTGAAAAGACACATGTGCTGTAGTCACGGGCCAGAACAGTCAAGAAACTTGCATCAGATCCACAATCTGAGCACGAAGGATGTGAATTGTTGCGGAGATGTGTTGCCTTCAATGCGTTTGAGGAGTTGCAGCTTTCGAACGACCAGCGTGAGGCGCTGTATGCTCAAAAGGAGGAACGCCTGAAAGAGGTGGAGGAGCTGAGGGAGAGATGCTTAGAGGGAAATGAGAGAGAGAGAGAGGTAGGTGTGGAACCTGGAAGATGAGACTCCCAACCATGCAGCTCTAGCATGTTGCAAAAAGTTGCAGCTTAGGATGCTGCCAGACAAATGTGAAGTAACCACCGATGGCCCTTCTCAATTGTTTGGTTAGCATCCTTCCTCTCGCCGGTCCCCCGCTTAAGAAAAATCTAGCTGCCCGCTAACCTCTCTGGGGTGTTCCATGTGTGCTTCAAAGAAGTTGGATTGGACCTTAGTATTGTTTTACAGGAGACGGCGAAGAAGAACACGGAGGAGATGGTCAAGCACCACAAGGAAAAGGGACGAATACACCAACACACAGGGGGTGGGGAAAGCTTGCAAGATCTTGCAAGGGACTCACTCTTTCCAGTCAGCAGTCGGCAAGTTGGGCAAGCAGCGGGTGGTCGAAGTTTGGGGAAAATAAGAGATTCCGCATCAGTTGCAGGGTGCATAGCCCCGTTCAAAGGGCATTCTCCAGTGTAGCTGCGCACAACCAGGGTTTCTATGGTCGCCCAAGGGTCATGAAAAAATCGATCGCTTCTCCGCTGTCTCTCCACGTCAATGACTCCACTGAGGAGTTGCTGGATTTGGAGCGAGCTTTGCACGCCAGGCCGGCGTGTCAAACCGTATCACAGGCAACGTAACAATGTCGGCTCTATGCAGCCGCTCCTAGGTTTTTTGGGGGGCAGACTGGCGCTTGGCAGGCATGTACACGTGAAGTGCTGGTGGTCCGAAGTTTTTCAATGCTTCTTCTCCAATGCTAGTAGAAACAAGTGCCTCGCTGGTAGTAACAAGAAGCTATTAGTAACAGGTGCATCGCAAGTAGTA